GCCCCCGCCGGTCCGGCTCCCGACCCCGCCGCTCGCCGCCTCACTCCCGCCGCTCGCCGCCCCGCTTACTTGGCTCTGAGGAGCAGCAACTCCTCAAACTGCCGGTCGGAGCCGACCTCCACCACGGCCGCCGCCGCCTCAGCCGCCCCCGCCGCCATGCTGCCGCCGCCAGACAAGAGTAATCGAGTGCGGGGACGCGGCTGCGCGCGAGAATCCCCGCCCTCGGCCCGCCCACCGCCCACGGCCCGCGGCCCGCGCTGCAGAGGTTGCGGAAGGGCAGGCGCGGCCGCCGCGCGGGCGGGGCTTCCGGCTGGCGGATGTGGGGGCTCCCGGCTGTCTGGGCTGCCGCTGTTGGGGCTCCTGCAGCTCCTGGGCCCAGCCGCAACCTGTACTAGAAGGGGGTGTGTGCGTGTATGAGACGTGTGAGCGCACGTGAGGTCAGGTTTGTAAGTTTAGCAATGTGGAAACTACTTAAATGACATTGCACAAAGTGGGTGAACTGGAAGGTCACCGAACAGGAGGTGGCGCCGTCTGTGAACCCCAACACTGACAGGGCGCTTCCAACTTAGTCCTGGAGGACCCGAATCCCGCCCCCGCCCCCGCAGTGCCACGCCTCGCCGCAGCCCTTGCGCGGACCACCAGCCTGTGTGACCTCGGAGCAGCAGGGCCTGGGTGGTCTGCTGCCCCCGGGCACTGCTCCAGGACCCCGCATCCCTCCCACTGGGGCCTCCAGGCCCCCACTGCCCCTCTTACCTCGGGGCCTTCCTTGGCTTTCCTGGCATCCCCTAAGCTGTCCCTCCAGATGGTGTCCTCTGCACCCCCTCCCATGCTTCCCACACACTTCCTGGCCTGGGTAATCTCCTCGGTTCCTGTAGTAACTTCAGCCTCCAGGGAAACCTCAGCAGCAAACCCAGAGCCCAGGAGTCGCAGCATCCATCTGCTTGGGGAGGGGGTATCTCCTGTTGGATGTCCCCGAACCACACTGGACCTTCCCTCCAAAGCGCTTCTTCTCTCATGGTTCCAGTGTCCTGAACACCATCGCTCCACGCAGACACTGGGGACTCCTCCTGGACGGTCCTCCTGCTCTCGCTGGGCATTGAGGTCAGACCCCCATGGAGCCTCCCCTACTCTCTCGGTTTTCCCAGGGCACCCTGTGCCTGCCGGGGGCGTATCTCATGTATTGGAACTGTGCTCCCAAGGAGGGCAGGAACTGGGGCTCCATCCCAGTGCCTGAGCTAGAGCCAGGCACACAGCAGGTGCTCAGCCTGTGCTCCCGGCCAGCAGCTGGCGGAGAACTGAGCTCCCTGGATTTCAGAGACTTTGTACGAAAAAGAAATGTAGCATGTCATTAATAATTTTTGTATTGATTACATATGGAAATGATAAGGTTTTGAACATACGGGGTTTTGTGAAACATATTATTAAAATTAAATGTACCTCTTTTTACCTTTGGTTACTAGAAAATTTTAAATTACATAGGTGACTTTAATCCGTGGCTCACTTTATATTTTCTATTGGCAACACTGTTCTAGTGATTCAAAGTGGCCTTTAGGAGCCCTGTTACATGTGTGCCTCACCTTGAGAAATAGATGTTGCCGAAAATGGTAAATTATTTACAATGCAGTAGGAGAGCAATGAGGAACTGTTTTGTATCTTGGCTGTGGTGGTAGGTACACAAACTTAAACACGTGATAAAATTGTATAGAACTAAATACAGACACACAGGAGTACAAGTAAAACTGGAGAAATCTGAAAAAGATTGGTGGCTTGTGTGTGAATACCAACACTCTGGCTGTGATATTGTATTACAGTTTTGCAAGATGTTACTGTTGGGGAAAAGTATACACAGGTTCTACAGTTATTTTTAAATAAAAAGTTTCGTTAAAAAATGTAAATAAAGGGCTGGCCGGTTATCTCAGTTGGTTAGAGCGTGGTGCCAATAACATCAAGGTCAAGGAATCAGAAACCCTGTACCAGCCCACTGCTATAAAAACAAAACTAAATAAATAAGTAAATAATGTAAATAAAACCTCAGAGATCACTATGGAAAAAATGCAGTAGGTGGTGGGGGGAACATTATGTCATAAAATGGTTTATATACTCCAGTTGCCATGTTTAAACACAGAATTATATATAAATAAAATGTATGAGTATAAGTATATAGCTGAATGTAGCAAAGAAAAAGGTCTCCAGAAGGATGCTCCCCAATGTATTAGGGAGCTTGCCCCCAGAGAGTGAAAAGAATGTTAAAAGGAGCCCCTTCATTTTTTACATTATACTTTGGGTCATTTGCATGTTTTCAAAGAGCGGGACTGCCTTTGTAATTTAAAAAATAATGAAATTGTAATGCACAAGGGACATGTGCTATAATGAATGTTTTTTTTTAAAAAAAAAAAAAACAGTAACCACCTCTCTAATGTGGCTGTTTTATAAATCCTGATTTTTCCTTTAAATGGAATTTGCTGAATGTAGCATACACCAGCTGCAGAACAGTCTCCTTACTTAAAGAAAAATGCGGTGAAAACTCCTGGATAAAATTTCCAATTCTGCCCTTGCCCTTTCTGCAGTTATCACTACTGATATTAACAGCCTGGGGTCAGCAGATGACCTGGTAGTTTTAAAACGCTCTGATTTTGTCAATAAAGACTTCTGGAGCTGATGAGGTGAAACCATCACTGCGCACCCCCACTTTACAACTAAGGAAACTGCCCAGACCCACAGTGGGGGATGGGGAGGAGGGGGCAGGTAGTGCCAGGACTCACCCCTGTATGCCTCAAGCATGTTAGGGCTCAGAGGGAAAAATTGGTTATTATCATATTAAATTGGCTTGGCCTGTTACAGAATACTCTAGATTTGACTTTCCTTTATGCCCCTGTTAGTGCTCAAAAGCTCAAAAACACAGGAAAGCAAGACATTGGGGCTGATTTGAGCCCATGTTCCATGGGTTCCTCCTGGGCGCTGACATTCTGCCAAACTCATATATAAGTATCATTTAGCTATGTCCTATTTACTGGGGAGATGGGGGGGTCTCACTAGCTTCCCCAACAGTGCTTCAGGGAACACTGGGACCAGGACCAGTGGCTTTAGGCCTGGGGTCTGAAGTCCTGGCCGGGAGGGCCAATGCTCCAGTGGGGAGTTTGGGGGGTCTGGGGGGCTTCCTGGACTTTCCTGGAAACAAAAGATCTCCACCCCATGCTGTGAACTGATTGTGTTTTAGAGTGTGTGTGCGTGTGTGTATGTGTGTGTGTGTGCGTGCGTGCGTGCGTGTGTGTGTGTGTGTGTGTGTGTGTGTGTGTGTGGTGTAGTTATTTTGCTGGGTAACAACAGCTAACATTTACTGCTCCTAAACAAGTATTTGCCATGAACTTTTGAAGATATATTGTTCATTCCTGTGGCTGAGTGTCATTCACCAGGCACAGTGCCCAGTACCATGGGGCACAAAGACCCTACAATGGAGAGGAATACCTCGTCAGCAGAGATGAAGACTGAAAAAATCTCCACCAGATGGGGTCTTTGTAAACCCCAGCAAGAGAAGCTGAGAAACACAAAGGGGCACTGGGAGGGAAAGAATTGAAAAGGCATTTTTAGTAGGTAAAGCATGGCATTAAAAAGTGGTGTTATTCAAGTAAAATCACCAACATTTCCTTTCTTTTAAGAGGAACTCTTAAATTCCAATTACTCCACCTCGAAAGACCAGTTGAGAATTATCCCAACTGGAGGGAATTAATATCCTTAGGAATTTCGCTGTTGCAAGATTAATGGAGCCCCCCTGCTGAGAAACAGTAAAACTGTAAGTACAGTAGATTTGCACCTGAAGGATACATATTTTAATTTCTGTTCTCAAGCTGCGATAACATCTTCTCGAGCTACTGTGAAAGCATAAATGAGCACCCACATGTCTGCTGAGAATTTGCTAACATAGAGCTCCCCAGGAGGAGCCCTGTGTCCAACACAGCCCAGTGGGGCACTGGCCCCCCCACGCTGCCAGCTTGGGCTTGGGTCACACAGTGAGCAAGGGCAGTGACCACGGCGTGGGTACAGGGCAGGGAAGGGCCAGAAGAAAAGTGCCACCCCTCACGCCCCTAATTGGCTGGGACCAGGTTGACCTAGCCCACAGCAGAATCCCTAGATGGATTCTCCTGCCAACCCCCATCCCACTTCCCAGCCCTGGAAACCACCTTGGCACTGCCCTCTCCGAGGGACAACTGGTGGGCACTGAGAATGGGGGAAGCCAGGAGCTTCTTGGTCTCCCCCGCCCATCCCTTCAGAGCTCTGCAAGGAATCTCATCACTCTGTCCATCAGCTTTTCTGGCCCAAAGAATGGGCCTCAGGAAGGGTGTCTTACAAAACCATGTTGAGATAAACTGGACACTGGGTCCAATCAAACAACCAGCTTCTTCCTTCTTCTTAGCCCAGGGGCCACCCTGGCAATTGAGACCCTCCTCCTGTCACCTGATAGCCAAGGACCAGTCTGGAATATGAAAGTGGGAATGGGCTTTGAGGTTTCCTCTCTCAACCCCGAGAAGTCCAGAACTTGATCTGGGAATGTGTCAGTCAGTTTTCTGTGTTGCCTTCCTTACCAGGGACTGCTTTTATTGGAAGAACTCTATGTATATACTTGCCATAAAGGTTGTTTATGCTGTCATAGCTAGATTTTTATTGGTTGTATTTTTGCTGCACTTGGTTGAAAAATAATTATTTTCAAAGAAAAGAAGAATTACATATCCAGTAAACTAAACAAGACTCGCTGTTTATTAGGGACCTCCGACAGCTCCTCAAATGGGAAAAAAGATTTCCATGCAGTGAATGGACAATTTATGTGTAAGTTTATTTGTAAAACAGATTTCAAAACATACTTCATCTTGGCTCTGCCAACAAATATGCATTCTGCTTCTTTTCAGAAGTATATGTTATCCGATGGTTTCACTTTAATCCGGTTTCTCCTAAGAAGATAAGACTATCTGGATAAATATGTACCCACTAACCGAATCTAGTCTTGGGCTGAATGTTGTGGGGCTGCTATACAGAAAAAAAAAAAAAAAAAAAAAGGGGATCACATACCATAGGTGTTCTCTAGAAGAAATGCATTTGTACAAAATGTAGTTCATGAATCTTAACCCAATAGCCGCAGTCTCCAAATATTAGTTAAAATAATTTTAAAACATGTATTCAATTGTTTACAATTTA